TTTAAAAGAAGACTGGGATAAACCAGAGACAGGGAGAAGGAGTAAGATGGTCAGTTATTTCTAGAGCAGAATTTTTACCCTTTATTGGACCATATGCTGCATGGAGCCATGTGATCACAGAGTGAAAACTAAGTGACTACAGTTAACTGATGTTCTCCTTTAATTCCCCCAACCAGTAACCTCCACAGCAGCCCACACAGCAATACTGGTACCTGACCCTGACTTTTCACACCTCCTCGAGCAGTACCAACACCACAGTGCATTTAAAAAACCTCTTAAAAAAGGAGAAAAAGTCAAAGGAAGACAGTTGTTAATGTTCCTGCCATTAGTGGGTTGGGAAGAGGCCAACAGCTGGGTGTTGGAGCTCAGCAGTGAATTTGCTCATATTGGAAGAGCTGCAGCCAACATTTTTACAGCTGATGGGTGCACAGCTCCTTGAATTTGCATCCCTTACATGCATCCAAAGGGACACCCTTCCTGTGCAGCCGAAATCCTGACCATAAAGTATGCTCCTCGTTGGGCAAAAGAAGTCTTCTCACAGTTAAGTTTCCAGGATTGCTTCCCTGCTTGGGACTTAAGGGCGAAGTAAAAGCTACAGCAAGTGCTTATGGAATACTGCATACACGGCACAACTCTATGCAGATATGCTTTTGGTGATGTCGGAAGAAGAGAGAAACAGCTTTGGGCTGAGATGCTGGAGCTTGCAGGTGGGGAACAAGGCACTGGACATTGAAGTTGAAAAGCAAACTAAATGCTTTTCCGCCTAAACACTACTATTAGCAAATTTATTGCCTTGGACCATTTTGCTGCAGCAGAGTCCAGTGCCAAACATGCCATGCCAAGTCCTCTCTCCACTATAGGCTCTCTTCTTGCGCTTGAAGTTGTTTCTCATAACAACTTCAGTTTCTTTTTAGCGACATTACAGTCCTCATCCCAGACTACGATACAGGTACAAAGAGAATTAACAAGCTCTCTGCAAAAAAGGTGGCAGCCCACAAAATTAGGCTTTTCCTTGTTCATATAAGGTCCTACACAATCCTAATGTTCCACCATGTCCTTGTCAGCAAAGCAACCCCTGAAAAGGGGTGGCACTTGGATCTTTCCCAGTTTGTATTTTTTTACTTTAATCTCATTGGTATTATTACTAATATTTAACTTGCATATTTAAAAGCTTTGAAAAAAGAAAGTTTCAAATGCTCCTTTTGATCACTTCTTTCTCTGGTTTAACTACTGCAGTTGTTAATTTTGAAGACGTATATGTTCTTTTGCTGCACTATTTGTTCTCTTCTGTCCTGCGCACATCCCTCTTACCCTCCCAAGGTACAGATTTGGTCCTTTCTCAACACTGCTGCCTGCAGAAGTCCCATAGAGGAGTAAGATCTGCTGCTCAGCTTTCAATGCTCCCATTTTTTTACTTCCTTCCTCCTGTGAACCACCGCAGTCATCTCTTTCTTCACAGGACTGTGAAGGTTTTGCATGTTCTCCATTGCCTCTGCCAGCACCCACCATGAAGCTCATACCTGGGGTTGCTGCCTTCAGTTACTTACTGCATACTGTAATGAGCAACAGCTTCATTCTGTCTTCATGACTAGCTAATGTGCTTGCCTATGCTACATATTTTTAACTGAGGGAAATCTCCAACTGGTCCAGAATGACTGAAGAAAACGAGCTGCTCTGGAGCAGCACATGGGAGCGGAGCCAGCAGGAACCTGACCCGTAGCTGACTGCTAGTTTAAGCTCAGTATCTATGCTTGCAGAAGCGGAAAAGCTGTGGGGCTCAAGGATTTCAGATAGGAAGCAAATGAAACCCTGAAACATTTTTCAACTTACACCACATCCCATGCCTTTTGCAGATACAAGTGTGAGGAAAGGCAGGAGCCCGGGAACGCCGACTTCCTCTTCTTCTTGCAGAGACCAGCCTGGTCGGAAGGAAACGTCTACTGCTTATCTCCCCTTCAGAAAACAGACACAGCCCGTGGTCAAAAAACACGGGCAAAGGCCAGTGAGAACCTGAGGTGCACAAACAGCAGCTTTGCATCAAGGCTGCTCAGTACTCACAGTTTACAACTCGGAAAGCCTGAGGTTTTTGGAGCCATGCTTTTAGGCCATGCAAGAATCTGGCTCAGGACTCGCCATTCATCAAACTCTCCTAGCAATAAGAAATGCCATCTCTCAAAAACCACATGCCTGAAAGCAGTGTGGCGGGAGGGCACGTTCACAACGCACCCAAGCTCTCCTTCATGCAACTTCTTCTTTCCAAACCACCAGATGCTCACTAACGTTTCTAAGCTTTTCGCTTCTTTTTCTTTAAGAGAAAAACTGTAATTCTCAAAAAAGCAACTGAACCAGGAGATAGGGCTTTAAGGAAAAAAATAGAACAACAATAAAGCCCTCAAAAGCCCATGTTTATTGTCGAAGTCTCTAGAATTATGAGATTTGACAATAAGGCTTTTGTTCTTGCGATACATGCAACTAGGCAACATGCAGCTTAATTTCTGCAGCCAGGGGATATTCAAAATACTTTCCACATACAATAGGTGTCAATTTGACTTTATTTAAGGAAAAACGGGGAAAAAACAGTAATTTCCATAATACACAGAAGACAAGTTAGATAGCACTGCAAAAAAAAGGCTGAGTGTTTTACTTGTCACCAGTCTGCTTTGCAGCTCTACGATTAGTAATTTTAATGCAGTTTGTCATTTCGTATTATTGTTTAGCATCTTTATAATCAGCAGAGTTTGGGGTTATAAATCACAAAAAGTGTACTACTACTACTATGAAAAACTAAAAAACCCACAAAAATCACTTTCAAATAAACCATAAATATGTGATGCACATTAGTGTAACAAAACCATTTTTGTAAACATTTTCTCCAACATAACATGTGCATAAGATAAAAAATAAAAACACTGCAGTCATACAAGTTAGGGTTACTTTGACTTAAAGATACAGAAAATTATTACTTATTAAAGCTTAAAACTAAACCTAGGAGCTTTTCTTTTCTTCTTTGCTTACAAAAGCACTGTTTGAAGTGTTCAGTGTCGGTATACGTAGTGGTTTTGTAATACTGTTTTTACCTTGCCACGTTGGCACTTCCGTGGAGGCAGAAGCTGCCAGGCAGGCAGGCCACCATAGGAAGGAGATTCCCCCCCATCTCCCCAGAGCCTCAAAACTTCAACAGCACATATCCATGACCTGGGCATCCCTACAGTACTGGAGCATCTTCTAGGTGAATAGCATCAGCTTTCAAGGACTAGATTGAATTTTGACCACATAGCGCTGGAAGATTTAAATCACGCAGACTGACATTCGATCGAATCAGCTTTGGCAAACTACACTACAGGGCAGCTGTGTGATTACACCCACGTCTACCATCACGTTGTGTTTCTGAGTCCCCTTTAGTTCATTATAGTACAAAAGGTTGATCGTTCTTCCTGCTG